CATCCACGCTTGAAAGATCATTTAATTATTCAAAAGAAGAAATTAAATTAATTTTAAGCTCCTTTTTAAAAAGTTTTTTAAATTTCACCAAAATAATTACCAGGATAAAGCAGTTTCTAAGCTTTTAATTGCATAGAAGCACATCATTTATGATTGAAGCGTTATTTTTTGTTACCTTTATGAAGTCGAAATACATGGACATTTTTTCCATTTAATATCATAAATAGAAATGTTTAATCAAACTTTTTTTTTTTTTTCTGTAGCTGCTCTTTTGACAATAATAGTAAGTTCTGTCAATAACTAATATAAACTATGACTCTTTAGCATTAAATATTTCTTGGGCCAATTCGCTGTTATTTGCTAACCATTCACCTTCTGTTTAGTGACCTGCTCCTATGTTGTTAGGGATGAAATTTTTATCAAAAGCGTCTCTAACTTGTTGCAAGTACCGGGATACTTAAATATGAGATTTAATGCCAAAATAATCAGCAATTGTGTATTGATCAAAGCCAAATCAGAAGGACGGCTAAAATAGTTTTTTTTGTTTTTGTTGATTTCTTGTATTTATTTAGGAAACTCAACTTTGTTTCTAAACAAACTCTAGATATTCCATGCTTATTTTTGACTTTATCCAATCTTTGAATCAACATCCACATCTATGTACCCGTAAAAATATTTCACTTATTTTTAATTTAATCTTGAAAAAAATTCAACCAAGTTTATTCCAAACTGTTTATCTTTTGATTTTGGTACTTTTTAATTTTAAACCAACAACTTTTTTATTTTATTTCCCATTGGGAATTCTCTTTAATAACATTAATTTGACAATACAGTTGATTAAGTCTAATATCTCAGAAAATTGTGAGACTTTTTTATAGTTTTTTTTATTAAATAGGTGGTTAATTAATTGTAATAATTGTTCATTATATATAAATAACTATAATTAGTTAATTGTACGCATTATAGTCGAAATAATAGTTTTTTAGTGATTTAAGACATTTACTTAAACATAAACCTAAAAGGAATGAAAACTTGATAGTTGATACGCATAACCTCCTTGATCAATCAATGGAACAATTTTTTTTTTTGTAAAACTAAGTAGTACTGTTTCAATAAAAAAAGGTTTAAAATTTGATCTTTTAATGATAACTTTTGTTAATAACGAATCATTATATTCCACATATTAATTCTATTTGTCAAGTTGGTATTTTTTTACTTAATTAATGTTATTTTTTTGAGCTTATTTTATTGTGCTCATATTACCAAGTGACCTGGGTAATATGAGTACTTTTGTTACTTATTTCAAATCTCTGTATTTTTAAGAAAAAAGTGTCTATCTAAGTGGAACATGAGCAGTTTTTTAGTCATAAAAGTTTTAGATCAAGAATATATTTATTTTTGAAAATACTCCAATTTTCGCTTAAGGTGTCTATAATACCCAACTTTATCCTATTGCAACATATTGTGTTTTTTTTAACCATTGGATACAACAGATATTTACTTTTAACTTTTTAAGCAAAATTATGTTTAGGAGACTTCAGCAATTGCATTGGCTTTGGGTTTGAGCAGGTCTCATCTTGTTATCTCAACCTATATATTTTACCTAATAATATTTTTCCCCTTTTATGTTTAGAATTTATTTCATGTTAAACTAGACTATAATAAAATTATTTTTCAGGCAGCTATTTCAGTATATCCTTACAAAAATGAACAGAAATCCTTATAATTTTTTTTAAAACTAACTTTTTTAAAATAGATTTTAAAAAAATGAAAATAAAAATAAAAAAAATAATTTAAGTCTAGTGTTTCTTATGCACTATTGCCAGACAAAAACTGTTTTTTATTAGCAGTAACCGTGTTAGTATTTGTAGAAAAGAGAAAAAGATGTAACTTCACAATGATGGGAAAAAGACTCAAGCTTAGCAGGTCCAACTACATTTACTATTCGTTTTTAGACCTTGTCTAGAAGAGAAAAAGCACCCCTAAACCAGCATCCCCAACCAGCCCTATCTAAAAGCATCCCCAACCAGCCCTAATATGACAACAGTGTTCCATACAGGGACGAATAAGAGATTTGTAGAGAATGGAATGAGGAGTAGGAAAATGTTGAGCATGGTAAAGAGAAACAACCTTAACAAATGCTAGTTTAACAATTGATTATATATATGGCTTCCATAAAAGGTCAGTAGTGACCTTTTTCTTTGAAATACCCCATAAGTTTCTGTAAATGAAGAAGAGTGTTGTCTTTCGAGGATGACTTTAATAAAGCAGTTAGAAAAAAAATTATGCAGAAGACCAGCTTGCCAAACTTTGTTGAAATCTAAATAATAGGGCTTAAGAATAATGGAGTTTAGCATTAGACAGCACTTTTTTTACATTGTTTTATTGCAATAATAAATAGCGGCTTGTTATCAAAAGAGTTGTTTTTTTGGAAAAGATGAAAAAAAAAAATGATTACAATTAGATACTGCAGCTGCACAAGTGAAAACCATGGAGTAGAATGAAGCTTGACTTGGAACAGACAGGTAGGAATAAAAGCTTCTCTTCCTGTCTGATTTCTGGAGGTTATGTAGGAGGCACATTTATTAACTGAACAAGAAAAGAAATCAGTCCAAGGACTTTTACAACGAAAATTACAAAAAGAATTCCAGTCAGCTTTAGGGTAGTAGTAAATAGTGCGTCGGTAGGTTGAGTCTAAAAAAGAAGTGTGAGATAAAAGATTTAAAGAGATCATTGCATGGTGAGAACCATCCAAAGAAAAATAAAGGAGAAACTGAACACAAGCTAAGATCAAACACAAGAAATAAATCAAGTAGTGAAGGTAAGTGATTAGAATTGTCAAGAAAACAAGTCACAAAGTTAATTATCTGAGTAAGAGATTGAGAAATTCAGACATTTTAGGCTTTAGTGCCAGCAGGGTCAATGGCTATACAACCAAGCCATTCAGTGTGATGAGCAGTTAAAGTTACCAATAACAACAACAACAAAGAGAGAGGGCATGGTCAATTTGATCAGAAATTACATCAAAAAGAGTGCATTCTTGAGAAGAAGGAGAACGATAAAGAACAAAGAGAAAGGTGATAGAATGAAGATGTTTACTAAAGTAGTGGTATGTGTCTGCTAGGTTTGTTTAGTAAACATCATGTTTTTAGTAACCATCATAAGTTTTAGTATATTAGTATGCATCTAGTATGTGTCTTCTTTGTGCTAGTATATGTTTAATATATATACAGTATTTATTTATGTTTATAAGATGTGTAACAGAATATGTTGTAACATTTTTATAACATCATATTTTACTATATAATGTTACTATTTAAAATATATGCAACTAATATCGCATATATTTTATAAATAGCATATAACTATTTTAAATTAACTTTTGACTTATTTTTTTATTAAAAGTTTTTATCAAGAAATAAATTCATGTAATTTTTAGAAGAAATATTGTTATGTCTTATGTATCTATATGGAAAATAATAAGTACTACAAAGTATGTTCTGACATTTAGTTTGCAATTTCATGGTATTGGTTGAACACAATATATTTAATCACCTTTTCTTTGGTTATTACTTTAAAACTAGTTAACAGATTATTATAACTTTTTTACACAGTAAAGCTAACTAAATTATTTATTTCAATTATTTTTACATTTTTAGTTTAATTCTTAGATAAAAACCAATTTTTAAGTATTTGACATCAACTCTTAGATCTTGCTCTGTGTTTTTTTTTGAAGCTGATTATTAAATCGTACTGAAAAGCTAATTTTTTTGCTTTTCAGTACGATTTCTTTTATGATTGACCAATAACTTTCAATAACTTGCTGCTCAGGACAATTAGAAGGATTTTATTCCTTAGGTACCAATTCAATACTATTTTATTCATAACATTCTAAAGACTTTTTTAAGTAATGAGTTTTAGGCTAAGCTAAAATATTGTGAGCATATCATGCTTTTTATTGAATGGAAAAGGTGTTTAACCATTCTTCTATAGAGAATTTCAAACTCAAAGTCTTATAATTGCACTATTATATGCCCTGATGCACTTTTATAGGCCATACTAGTAATATGGGAGTAAATTTTTTACTTTGCATATATTTAATTTTGTTATTTTTGAACAACAAGTTACTTTAATTTTTTCATCAATGGATCGTTTTGGAGTTCTGATTATTTTTTATAATATGCTTTATATTTTTCAGATTAGGAAGTAAATTTCCTAAAAATGTTTCCTATAAATGTTTTCATATAAATTCTCTTGCAAGATCTCCTTACAACTGACAGACTTGCATTTATAATGTAAATGATTAACTTTGCCTTATATTTATCTTTTAAACCTTTCTTTTATCCGATTCCTGATTTTCAAATCAAGTATCATTATATTGGTGCAAAATAAATCTAACTAAAGATCTTAAAATTTTTCTAAGTTTAATATTCATTTACTTGAATATTTGTTTACACAATTTAACCCAATAATATTGAATACCAATAATTAATACCAATGCAATCAAATGACAACTAATATCTTATTCAAACAAAAATACATTTCTTATTTAAATTACAACACATTAGTTTCACATTGTATCTTCCTATCATTTTAGTTTCTTTGTGCAAAAAAAAATTAAAAAAATCTGGTAAGTAATTTGTAAGTATTTAATGATTAAAAGTGTTCTTATGTGTGTAAACATGCATACCTAAATGTGTAGTTATCAGGTTAGTTAATCAGATATAGTTGATCAGATGTAGTTAATCAGATGCAGTTAATCAGATAAATTTAGAAATAGAAACCAAAAATCTGTGTTAGTTAATTTATGTTAGACTAAGCAATTAGATAAAAAAAAAAAAAAAGATTAAAAAAATTATTTTAGACTTTAACTGTGTTACATTATCTAATAAATTTTATTTTATTTACTTGTTTTAAAACATGAAATTTTACCTTGATATCTTGTGATCATGATTGAACTTTTGTTCAAACATGATTGAACTTTTGTTCTTTAAAATTAGGAAAGCTGCTCGAAGTTTTTTTATTCTTGTGTTTTTACTTGGTGGTGGTTATATTTTTGTAAGTACTGGACCAAATGACTGCATACCATTTCAATATCTTCAAGTTATTCTTATTGTTCCTCAGGTTTGTTACTTTTATTAATTAGATTTAAAACTTGAAAAATATACAAATTAATGAAAATCTTGTATGAGAATTACTTAATAGAATACTACTAGTATATTTAAGAACATGTGTCTACGAAACTTGTCTAGAAGAGTAAGGACATCATCATAAGAATCAACCAAAATATGACAAGATATGAAAAAAGTTAAATTACAAAATCAGCAAAGTACCTATCTTTAAATTTTGTGCAAAAAATGTTTATGTAAATAATAAATTTGTTAATTATTTTTTAAATATAAATAACATAATTATGGTGCAGAGACCGGATTTACCTAAGACTAACTAGGCTGCAGCCTTGGGTCACATTATTTTGCTAGGGGTTTTAGGGAGTTATCAAAAAGTACTGCTTTTGTGATTATAATAATTGCTAAACAACAAAAATCTCTCTGGAAACTTATTAGGATTTTGTAAATTTTATTTACACAATCATTAACTATTGCAACACTAAATAACTTAGAGATTATTTCTGCACGGAGGAATTCTAGAACAAATCTATTTAACTGCCATAGCGCTAAACTAAAGAATTAAAAATAAAAAAGCAAAAAGCAATCAGTTTAATACTACATATACTATATAATTCTTTTTCATTCATTAAAAAGATTAGACTGGAGGTAGCTTTGAAAGAGTATTTTTTACAACTTATATAACATTATCAACTCTTTGTTTAAAACTCCGTTTTTTGATATGTCACATAATACAAGTATTGGTTATAAGTGCTAACCAATTATGTTACACTGATAGTTATGGAATTGCACCTCATTTTTTTTTTTATTTTTATTATACACTTAAATAACTCTCTTTGATTTTTTATACATAATAATATTGATAAAAATATATTTTACGACACTCAATTGCAAGTTTCATTTTTTTTACATTTTATCTTTATTTTGTATTTTATCATTATTATTTTTTTTTAAATGGGTTTTATAGGGTATTTATGTCTGCATATTTCAAATTTTTATCAGTAAAGAAATACGAAATTCTGCAAGGTTAAAGATAAATCGCCTCAAACAAAAATCATCTGTAAGTATCATAAAGTTTTATAAATTTTTACAAAGTAAAGCAACGGTGACTAAAAATTGTGAACATGCTATTAAATAAAGTGTTTACTTCATTGAGTTTGATATGTTTTATATTGTGTTTATATGTTTCAACGTTTTAATGTTTTATGTAAGACTTTTTTATCATTTTTTTTTTGCCAACCTCTAAAAGATTGAGGTCATTTTTCCTAATTCTGAGGGTTATATATATATATATATATATATATATATATATATATATATATATATATATATATATATATATATATATATATATATATATATATATATATATATATATATATATATATATATATATATATATATATATATATATATATATATATATATATATATATATATATATATATATATATATATATATATATACATATATATATATATATATATATATATATAAATATATATATATATATATATATATATATATATATATATTTATATATATTTATATATATGTATATATATATTTATATATATGTATATATATATATATATATATATATATAATTTTTTTTTTTTTTTTTTTTTGTTCTTATATATTATCAATAGTATTTTAAAACTTTTAATTATTATTTTACTAAAAAAAATGGAAATTATACGTATCCGTTTTCAATTGATAAAGTTTTAATTAAAAAAAAACAACTGAATCGCTCTGTATCGGAAAGAAAATATATCTAGATGTGGGTAAGCTTTCTCTGAGCAGAGTTTACCCCTCTGCTTGTCTCATGCTTATTTGATGAATGTAATTTAATTCCTAGAGTTTCGGTATATCGATTTCAATTTAATGATCTGACTATTTATGATGATTGACATTGACATTTGGCTAAACCCGTTTGACATTTAACTATACACGAAAATTGACACGAGCTATTGACATTGACCGTAATACACAATTTGTTGACAATGACCGTATTATATGATCTATTAATATTGACCGTATATTCATAAAAAAATATATATAATATATTCGCGATAAAAAGGTATTTTAGAATTAAAATTCTTTTTCAAATAATTTAATTAATTGTGTTTATATTTTGCCGTATACTACTTTTAGATTCCACGATTTATTTCTCAATCAACTCACAGCACTTCAACAAGTATTATAAAGAGAATTAGTGCTGGGGTTTTTACTCGTAAAGGATCGGATTTAAAATTCACTAGAACCAAATCAACGGTGAATACAAGTTCAAGTGTGGTTTTTAATCTTAATTTACAAGTATGTAACAATAGAAATGACTTATTAACATTAGGAACAAAAAATGCCGGATTTGAATCCGAGTTGCGGTAATTACTTTCATTCATCTGGTGGTTTTTTCTATGTATTTAATGCTATTTGTTTTAAAGTATTGAAAAATGTATTCATAACAATGTATCACATAGTTTAAAAAGACTTATCAAGTATTGAAGCAAACGGTACTAAACCCATATATGTTATTGACGTTAAACACTTTTGAACAGAAAATTCAGTGAGAATGTTTTCAACTTTTACCTTACATTTTATGTTAGTTGTCATTTGAAGCACATGTAAATAAATAATGTATTTATACAATTATTTACCTATATATTTTTATAAAGTATTGTAATAATATTCCTAGGGTAACAAATATAACAACTTTACTTATAATAAAGTTACTGTTATCATAATGTTTTTTCCTAATTTTATAGAAGTTTTGTTTTATATTAAAGTCTATCAATTTTTGTCTTTATTTACAATGGTCTCTTTAAGGCTTTCCCGAAAAATCGAAAACGATTTTGTGGTTTTTAATCTCAACTTTATATTTTTTTTTTTTAGTTAGTAAACCCTTATATTTATTGTTGTTTGTTAAAGAATTTTCCGTCATTGTGTCCGCTCATTATTATACCATTATAATAGTTAAAAGTAGCTATAAAAGTATCAGTCACGATTATAATTGTATGCTTTAGTTAAAAATTTAGGAATGCTTGCTTTACTAGACCATAATAAAGTTTAACTTACATTAGACCGTTAACATGTCATATTGATTAATATTAGACCGTTAACATGTCATACCTCGATTAATATTTCGATAAGTGATAGGGGGTGGCATGTTCATAATATTTGCAAAGCGTATCACTGATTCTCTGCCACATCCTATTTTACGAAATGCCATTAAACTGCGAATGTTGACTTCATGAGGTTTATTTCCAAACTTTTCATTATTTACGACAGGAGATGTAAAAAAACTATCAATGTTATCACAATGTGTACATTTAACTTTTAAAGATAAAGAAAATCCTTTACGCAGCAAAACATTATGTGATATTTCCAGCTTGCTTGAACAAATTTGACAACAAGAGTACTTTTCAAAAATTAATTTCATCTGTTTAAAATGCATTATAAAGTAAAAGTCATTTAAATCATAATATATTTGTTTATTTTTGTTCATGACTTGAATTTTCTTTATACCACTGCTGTCACCAGTTGAACTAAATTCTGATACAACCTTTTTAGTGTGAAAGTTCCCTTGAAATTTTCTTATTCTCTTTCTGTTGTTATTTTTTTTTATTTGCCATATTAAATATTAAACTATAAAAATAATTATCTTGACAATTAAGAAAAACTTGGAAGTTTATTACCAAAAACAATTATCAACAGGCTTGTGTAACTAATAAAATCGTGAATTACATCAAATGTTATTTAAGTTTATGACTTATCTCTTCGTAGAAACAAAGAGCACTACAGAGTAAGTCATTTTTGAATTTATATTTATGGAACTAGACTTTAAATTAGGACTAAAACATAAACAGACACGGTTGCTAAGGCCGTTGCTAGGGATTCGAAAATTACCTTATAGCCTTTAAATACTGATTTAATGACTTTATATTGATTTTTAAATAATAAAAAAAAGTTATACTCACGATCACAGGATATTCAAATTGTAAAAATTTAAAAAAAAAAAAAATTTTATTTTAGGGTTTTTATTACCATATTCCAAGTTTTTTTTGGAAACTTTCCCATTAATTCTTAGCTTATTGAGTCTGTTTATTAAATTTTTTTATTTAATATAATTATTATATTAAAAAACTTGCCTGTTTAATAAACTTGTTATCAACAAGGAAATTATATTTTAAAACTAAAAACAAAACATTTTTTAAGGAAACCAAGTATAAAATTTATAAAATATAAGTGCACTAATAAAAATAAAAATTCCCACCCACCCGTTTGTTAAGTCCCCTTACCCAGGTAAAAATTAATATTCAAGAGCATTTGTTTGGAATCTAGGTTAATTTTTGTTTAGTATATATTTTTGAGAGTATATAAAATAATCAAGTATTAGTGAAGGTTCAGGTTTAGTTTTCAGCGAAAAAAAACAAAACCTAAAAAAAAATTATGTTTTTTAGTTTTTGTTTTTTGAATTATTTGCAATATGCTCTTCAAAAAATGCGATGATTGGAGCATGAGAACAAAAAATTCCCAAAATTTTGCCTCTTTGCTAGATAAAAAAGACTAGATCCGCCCCTGATATAAATTTTTTCAGTAAGTTTTTCAGTACTCTGTATTTTATGTTAGCAGCCAAATAAAAGTCAATGCTTGTTTCAAAATAATGTTTAACAAGGGACCTTTTTTCACAAATGTTTTGTTTTAATTAAAGATTTTAAGCAACTATATAAATAAAACTGTCAAAACTTTTTAACTTCGTTAATAATTATGATTTGAATACTTGAATAATATCAGAATTAACTATTTTTAATAGTTTATAATTATGAAATTTTATTTTAAATTGTCTAATACACTAGCGTTGGCCCTGCTTATAATGTCAATCTATTCAAGCAAGAAAAGAAAAGAGATTTTATATATAATTACAACCTAGTAAAATTTTACTTAAATGTAATCATCTTATGTTGATCAAATTAATCAATATTGGTTCATTTAATATCTGTTCATTTACCCAATAACGTGTTTTAACAATTTGTGGCTATGAATAGTCGTTTAAATAGGTGTATTATACGGAGGTTTTTATTCTCTTTCTGCATGATACTAGTTCCTCATTAATCTTTAAGTGAATATCTTATTGGGAATTACCATCTTTTATAGGTCGGAAGACTTTTTGATTTTTAATGGTGTTATCATTATAGCTAAAAATCACAGAAAAGTAGTTATAAATTACCACGTTAAACAAACAAAAAAACATCATGTCAACGTAAAAACATAAAGACTTAAAAATAAAAAAGTAAATTTATAAAAAAACGTTTTAAAAAGAACATTTTAAAAATGGACTAAAATGTAAAAAATAAACTATATCACGGGACCCAAGGACTTTGTGTACGTACACAACCTGAAATATCCATTTAAGTAACAACTGAAATGACTGAAATTGCTGGCCGAAATGACTGAAATTGTTGGCCGCCAAAAGGAACGAATTGTACTTAGTTTCCTAACATTTTCATTCATTGCCTTTAATGGATATTTCAGGTTGTGTATGTACACAAAGTCCTTTCTCTCCAAGAAATAGTTTTTTTTATTACTATTTAGACTTTTAAAATGTTTTTTTTTTAAAAGTTTTAATATTATATTTATTTAAAATTACAACTACAAAACATACATATTACAAATTGTGAAATAACAACATTATATATATAACATTATATATATATATATATATATATATATATATATATATATACATTATATGTGTATATATATGTATATATATATATATATATATATATATATATATATATATATATATATATATATACACATATATATATATATATATATATATATATATATATATATATATATATATATTATATATATATATATATAATTAGGCTTCGATTAAATTCTATTTATTAATGACTAATATATTACAAATTCACAAACATCCATTAAATCTACATGTCTCAAAAACAGATAAGTCTCAAATTCTCGGGTGTAACATTTTTAAAAAGTTCAACATAAGGAGAGCTTTGCTTAAATGCTAAGTCGGTTAGCATATACATACCCCTTGAGAGTTGCAGTTAACGGGATTATACTAAATATATAATCATTAAATGTATCAATGTTACTCCCAGTATACAATATTTAGGAAAAATGTGTCACTATCTGTAAATGATAGCGATTGCTATAGAAACTTAGTCCGGAACTTCCCAGCATGCGAGTTTTTAAGTGTCTAATGAACGGAAGACGGCTGCTACAAAATATGACCTTACATTATGTGAAGGTCTTAGAAAAGGTCTACCGGTGCCCAAGAAAGACAATTAAAGAAGAAGCGTGAAAATAACAACTTTTACAGTAGTTAGTTTCATTGGGAAGCAAGCCCTTCCATACAGAGATAAATTTCCAATGTCTGAATTTTTGACAATCTCTCGCACACTATTTCTTATGATTTTCTAGCTTAAAAATTTGGATCAGATCTCCGCAATTTCTTCTTATTGATATATTTTTAGATGATATAAATAGACTTAATCTAACGTCGATATAATATATAAATATACGTTGATATAAGATATAACGTTGACATAAGATATAACAAATAAATAGATTAATCTAACGTTGTTAGATTAAGTCTATTTATTTGCTCTTCATACGAAAGATTTTTCATACAATGTGCTACTTTTGTAGCTCTTTGCTGAACATGTTCAATTTTAAAGATATCTGGTCTCCATGCAGGCTAAAAAAATTCTATTTGCATTCGGATATAAATGGTATATAGCCTTTTTCATATGCGCAAGAATCTTGATTGAATTGTATGCTTTAAAAGCCCAAGTATACTATTTGCTTTTGCTACTATGTAATTTACATGTGCATGAGTTTTTAGATCTTATGATATAATAACTCCTAAACCTCTTATCGTTTTGGTTTTTTTAACTTTGAAAATACACCCATTAGTGTATGTGGTTGAGTAGTTGTGATGTGGTTTATTTTTAGCTATTTTGCATAATGATGCACTTTTCGATATTTAGTTCCATAAGCCACATGTTGCACCAAGTTCAAATTTGGTTAATACTATCCTGAAGTTCTAGAGAATCCATTAAATGTGTGCTTGGTTTTATATTTTTTATAAACTTATTATAATCAGCATAAATAAAACATCTATTTTTGAGTTCTCTCGGTAAGTCGTTTATGTCTATTATATAATAGAGTATGTCCAAGAACAGATCCCTGTGGTAGACAATTTATTACAATCACCTAATCCAACACATTATGACCCGTACCCCTTTGTCTCCTATTCTTTAGAAAAGCCTCAATCCAATTTAGCAATCCTTTATTTAAACCATACGTTAATAATTTAAGCAATAATCATTGGTGTGGCACTTTATAAAAAGCTTTAGAAAAGTCTAAATATATCATATCAACACTACTTTTACTTGTTATACATTTTGTCACTAAACCTGTACATTCAAGTAGATTGGTTGTACAAGGATAAAACAATGCTGTTCCTTGGTGATTAAGTCATTTTTTGTTAGATGATTGTTTATGTGTTACCTAATAAGGTGTTCCATGACTTTGAATAGAACCGATGTGATCGAAACCGGTCTTTATTTGGAGGGTTCTAGTTTACTACCTTTTTCTAAAGACACAACTAACATTAGCTTTAGTCAAAGCATTTGGAATTCATCCATTATTATAAGACAGTTGATATATAGATATTATATATATATATATATATATA